AATATATAAAATCCATCTATTCAAAGTGAAAAATCACATTTTTAATACTCAATTTGAGATTCTTAAACAAAAAAAAAAAAAGATATTTAACTAGTAAAATATATAAAATCCATCTATTCAAAGTGAAAATTCACATTTTTAATACTCAATTTGAGATTCTTAAACAAAAAAAAAAAAAAGATATTTAACTAGTTGTATATACATAACTCTTATAAAAAAAAAGAGTAAAAAAGGAATAAATAAAAAATGATTGTCTTTTTTTCCTCTTTAGTGTTATACACTTATAGCCATAGAAACATTATCTATAATTATCATTAGTTTATGATATTCACACAACCACATTTATAGCACACCCATAAATTATATTCATATTCTCTATAACTTCATCATTTTGCTTATAGTATTTTGCAAGATTTTAAATTAAGTATTAAAGATATTTTTGGAACAAGTGAGTATAAAAATTTTGATTTTATATTTTAACGATATGAGTATTATATATTTTAGTTTACCATTTCAAGTTTGATTTTATTGATATTTGAATGAGTTAAATATTTAAATGTAATTTTATGGAAAGTTATATAATTTTGTTATTTGTGCAAAAAAACTGAAATGCACAAAATTACAAAAATTGAGATTTAAGTGCATCTTTCTCAAAAATTTAAGAACTAAATTGTAATAAAAAAGTTGAATTTACAAACCAAATTGAATAAATTTGAAGTTTAAGGATCAAAAAGCACAAGAACAAAAAGTTAGGGGACAAGATTTGTTATTTTACGATTAAATTTTGGAGAAATTAAAGGGGTGTGTTGACGGCGTTATGATCGTCCATACATGAAGGAATGATGCTTGGCCCTTTCTCAAAAGTTTAGGGATATTAATGGCTTGTTTTGGAGTGGAAGGATGACAATTATTTATTTTTGCAAAGTTGAGGAATTTTTAGGGACATTAAGCCTCATTTTTAATTGGAAGTCAAAGCCAAATGCATCGATATGTAGCTACTGCTATATAGTATGGAAGAATTTCTAGTATAAAACCCAAAGCATATTGCCACAACTCTTCTTGAATCAAAGGCATCTTTCTCAATAAGACAACCCCATTGACACATAAAGCACTTTTTCAATGCTCAATGCTGTTCATCTTCATCGCCAATCTTTGCTAATTTACACGATGAGAAACCAATTGAATCCAAAACCATTTTTGAATAAGAAACAGAGGGCATCAGAAACCAATTAAGAAGAAGACAACCAAACAGATATAGGCCGGCAATCTTTTGTCTATCTATCTTGTCTTTTTCTTGTTCTTGTTCTTCTTCCCTTTTATATATACTCCCAAAATTTCATACATTCAATCATCCCCTCTTCTTAATCCCCACCTGTTTCACCCCTTCCAAATCCGTTTTCCCTCAGTTGCGTTACTTGGATACTCCGGATTTGATCCAATGGAGGTGGGTTCAGGGTGGGTGATGACGGCCATGGTGATCATAATGAGTATGTTAGTGATTTTAAGATGGGTGCTAAAGAAAGTCAATTGGTTGCTGTACGAAACCAAGTTGGGGGATAAACAGTATGCTCTGCCGCCGGGGGATTTGGGATGGCCTTTCATTGGAAACATGTGGGCTTTCCTCCGAGCATTCAAGTCCTCCGATCCTGATTCCTTCATCGGCTCCTTCATCAACAGGTACTGTTCTAATCTCTAAATTCTTTTCTGGTTACTATCTTCCTGGGATTCTTCTTCATCTTCAACTCCTCCAAGAACAAGAAAATGCATAAAAAAATGGAGGTGGGTAGCTGGTGGGTTCTGTCACAAGAGGATCAGCAGACGTCACACAATACATCTTGGGGCTGAGAACTGCTGTTCCACTTTTGTCATTTTCGACCTTTTATTTATTTATTTATCATATAATTGGGGTTTGGTTTGGCGTTTTTTTTATCGTTTTTACCGGTGGAACTAGAAAACGACGGCGATGGCTGCAGGCGCAGAACCGTGGCAGCGCCATGATCTGGCATGCAGAGGCTCCAATTCTCCACCGTTGGTTTGGAAACTGACACAAACAAAAAACCATGTTTGTGTTTGGCGTCACGCCACTCCTCTCCCCCGACCGTGACGTCCACCTTCCTTCATATCTGTCTGTCCACCTCGCTCCGTTGTCTTGGACTCTTGTGCCTCAACAATTTTTTTAAAATTTTATATATTATCTCTCTTTCTTATTTTACTTTCAGAGCCGGATTTTTTTAGACAGGACTAATTATTCCGATTAACTTCAATTTTAATGTGGATCATAAAAAATTAAAAACATAAAAATAATATTATGCAGTTTATTCTATGTTAAATTTAAGAGTTTTTTATGTTTGAGAACCTATTAGATGCGAGGTGGGCTGATATTAAGAATTATCTTTTGTTTAATGATTTTTGTTGTGTTTTTTGAGACGTTCTCGTGATTAAAAACTTTTCATATTCAAGATCTTTGAGTTCGATGAATTTTGACATAAGTGGAAAAAGATTTAGTAATAAGAGAGTTTTTTTTTCTTTTTTTTTAATTACACAATAAGAGGCAACCATTTCATCTCTTATTCAATTTCATTCGCATGTCATGTTATTTGAATTCATGATCTCTTATTTTTAACGAAAGGAAATAATCATTCAATTACTTAAGTTGTTAACAAAAAATTATTTATTATTATATAATTTATTATTTAATATTAAACATATAATTTTTATTTTATAATTTAATATAATTTAAATTAAAACAAAAGACACAGAGTCATAGTTGAAATACTATTATGTCCTAATGATACCACTTTGAATCTAAATACAGATTTGGACGCACTGGAATCTACAAGGCCTTTATGTTTGGGAACCCAAGCGTCATTGTTACATCACCGGAAGCTTGCAAAAGAGTGCTGACAGATGATGATGCCTTTAAGCCTGGATGGCCTGTCTCCACGGTGGAGCTTATTGGGAAGAATTCATTCATTGGGATTTCTTATGAAGAACACAAGCGTCTCCGGCGCATAACTGCAGCTGCAGTCAATGGTTATGAAGCAATGTCCATCTACTTGAAATACATTGAGGATAATGTTGTATCTTCCCTGGAGAAATGGACCAAGATGGGAGAAATCGAATTCTTGACTGAACTCAGAAGGCTTACTTTCAAGATTATAATGTACATTTTTCTCAGCTCAGAAAGTGAGCTGGTATCTGATGCCTTGGAGAAAGAATACACTGCACTTAATCTTGGAGTTAGAGCCATGGCAATCAACATCCCAGGATTTGCTTACCATAAAGCTCTCAAGGTAGAGTTTTTTTTCGAGTTTGGTTACGAATCTGAATGGTTAATATTGTCTTAGAGTTGAGATAATACATGTTTCCTCCAAATTCATGGTTACATCTTTTGGTCAGGCTCGGAAGTATCTTGTGGCCATATTCCAATCTGTGGTGGATGAACGAAGAGAACAAAGGAAGAGCAATAATGCAACGAAGAAGAAAGACATGATGGATGCTTTGATGGATGTTGAAGATGAAAATGGTAGAAGATTGTCTGATGAGGAGATCATTGATATTCTGGTAATGTACTTAAATGCAGGCCATGAGTCTTCTGGACATACCATGATGTGGGCAACTATTTACCTACAAAATCATCCTGAATTTCTGCAAAAAGCTAAGGTAACAGAATTCAGCTGTATTCCCACTTTCTTGTATCATAAATGAGTTTCTTTTTCATTTCCCCTGATGTTAGGTTTGAATTTTTTTCAGAATTCTGCTTTCAAATTAACCTTGGACTTGTGTTATAGGAAGAGCAAGAGAGGATCATTAGAAACCGGCCACCAATGCAAAAGGGATTGACACTCAAGGAATTTCGAGAAATGGAGTATCTTTCCAAGGTACATAAATATATCTGTGAGTTTCATGCAGCTTTTACCATGTATTTTTCCTAAATGTTTCACTGAATTCTTTGTTTTGAATTCGGAAGGTGATCGATGAAACACTCCGTGTGTTAACATTCTCACTTACAGCCTTCCGAGAGGCAAAAAATGATGTCACAATAAGTGGTGAGTCCATGTTATATAATTTCTTTTTCAATGTCATGAAAGCTAATCCATGACATGTTTAAATTCACCGGATGGAACGGCTTACAGGTTATATCATTCCTAAGGGATGGAAAGTTCTAGTCTGGTTCAGGGGTGTTCACTTGGATCCAGAGGTTTATCCTAATCCAAAAGAATTTGATCCTTCAAGATGGGATGTAAGTTTTCTTTATATCAATGCATTAATCCATATGTAAGTTAAATTGTGGCATAGGAAAATCCATTTATATACTAACACTATTGAAATTGAGTGTAGGATTTTACACCCAAAGCTGGAAGCTTCCTTCCCTTTGGAGGAGGAAGCAGACTCTGCCCTGGAAATGATCTTGCCAAGCTTGAAATTGCTATATTTCTTCACCATTTTCTCCTCAACTATGAGTGAGTTATTTCAATGGTAGCATGTTAACCTTTGATTTTTTTAGAAATTAACCACTTGTTTTAAACAAAATATCCAGATTACATGTTATGATAATAAATATTTCATTGGTGTTGCAGGCTCGATCGGCTTAATCCCCAATGTCCCACAAGGTACCTACCACATACAAGGCCTAAAGACAATTGCCTGGCAAGAGTCAAGAAGCGCCAAGCTTCTTCTTTATGAAGATATAAAAGGGAAGAAGAACTCAATATTATTGCTTCCTAATGAAGATAAACTATATCAATTCTTCATCCTCAGATGTCCCTCTTGAAAATTTTGAAAAGAAAAATTAGAGAGAAAAATAAAAATCCAGTTTGTGGTTTCAATTATTTTGAGGGAAAGTGGAAGGGCTTCTAGAAGTCCCATGCCGAATATTCAGTGGTATTCTGAGGGAAAATGAAGCTACGGAATAAGATAACAGTATAGTCATGTAACTCTTTTTGATTTATATATCGTACTACAGTTTGCAAGTTCAGTTCTTTTCGACTTTCTAATGGACAGAAATGGAAAACAATTACTCTTGATATTTTTCAGTTTATGTGGAAAAGACCACTTTCTGTTTTTGCTTTGTCAAGAGAGAAGTGAAAGCAAAAATCAGATTAAAAGAAGAAAAAGAAACTAACTAGGAATCAGGTCGAAGAATTATAGATCAAGTTCGGAAACTGTGAACATGGTCCAGGGTATAATGCACAAGCCTTACTAGAACGCAGATTCTGTAAACTATAACAGCAATTCTATTTAATGTCCTCACCTAATTCCAGAGGGATGTCAAAAGCTGCTCCAAAGGCTGTGAATTGTGTATTGTGTAATGATAAGCTTCAGCAAATCCTTTTCACCACCCAAATCCCTGCAAAGCCAGATAATTACACAAGAAGGGATAATAACAAATGCTGAAGAACCTTTTACATGTATATACTTCTGTGCAGGCACAAAAAGAGGCTTTGTTCAAAGTACTTGTCTAATTAAACTGACAATTTAAGTTTTAATGTTGAATTCAGTTTTGGTATTTTTTTAATCAAAATGATAATATATATTATTCAATCGAACAAGAGAAGCCGATCAAAACAAAAAAAAAAAAATGGAACACAGAGAAGAGTACAGCAGAGATGCCAAAGCCAAGAAACAGAACAGAGTTTGAAATCCTTCCACTTAAGTTGGTGGAAAACAGAACTGGAATTACTAGTCATGATGATAATGATGATGATGATGATAAGGCCCAAAAAAGAAGATAGTAAAAATTTTAAGCTTAGACATTTGGTGATGCTAATCATAAAGATAATGATAATGGACCACTCAAGGAAGTAGTGCACAGGCATTTTTGGGCTTACCTGTCAGTGACTTATGTTAATGAGAAGCTACGAGCTCACACCATAAACATGGATTCTCTGAATGATTGGAGCTTGGCAACAAGGGCACCTAGCTTCTGTATGGTTGAATAAAAGGGTGCAATGAGGACATAGGATTTGATGGGCACAAGGAAGGAAAAGTACTGATGCCTGGTTGTTTGTACAGATCAAGCACAAATGATTGCAGATTTCTTCCTCAAATAGGTGCGCTGACAAATTCTGATTAGTATGCACCATATTGAATGTGTCTATCTGAGGTCTTTGCAGCTCTAATTGTCCTGAGAACATCACATTCTGCTGATGATACGGATTGGTCAAATCTGAAGATATTTGGAGACGAGAAACCTCCTCCATAAGTCTTTCCATATCATCCTTGTGAAGCTGACAGTCCATCACTATCTTCTGGTGAGCAGCCTCCATCTTCCCCTTTACATTGACGTCAGCTTCTTCTTTTAATTTCAGTTCTTCCTGAATCTGAATGATGGCTAGCTCCTTAGCCTGCACTTCCTGCCTCCACATCCACTGCATTATTAAAAAAGGAATACAATTCATATACTTTTTATATAGGTTAATCAAAGTGAAAGTGATCCAACATGGATGAATTAATTCTACAGGACAAATGTAATATGTTGAAATTTCACAATCTGGAAGAGAGGTAAGATACTTCAGCATGGTATTCTTTCACTATGTCCTGGGAGGAATGCAGCAGCCAGTTGCCTTTCATACTGGACTAAAAGATTCTACAAATTTCTAAAAAAGATTTCCAAAGCCTAGATAACCTATGTTTATAGGATAAGATGAGATTGAAGAATATGATTAGTTTAAGTATCTTTAGTGATTTAATTTGCAGACATTCACCAAGAACCAAACCAGGAACTGTCAATTTCACCATGAAACAGATTCCTAGATTGGGGATGGTGGTCTATTATTCAGCAAGCTGAACTATAAGAGTACCAGATAGATGGAGCAATTTCATCTTTGTGATTGTGAGAGATTAAGATAAATAAAAGTCAGATGGATGAGAATATGAATGCAGATAAACAAGGATATAAGTAATTTCTGAATGCAGCAGCTGGCTGAAACATTGGATAACAATGTCAAAAAAATATCCAAGCAGAAACTTGATGACAATGACCTGCTTATCAACCCATGACACGACAGATAAAAACCAGATTACAAAACCAGAAAATGCAAGAATAAGCAATCAAGCAACTTATGGCAGAGTTGTGCTAACTAGAAAAGTAGTAAATATCACATTAAGGACATGTTTCCCATAAGGAATGATGGCACACCTCAATCTTCTTTTGAGCCTTCTGTATAGAGACTAACTCTTGTTGCAACTCCAGAGACTTCTTTTTCTTGTCCTGGAGCTCTTCCTTTAGTTTGTTATGCTGTTTCTCCAATGTCATAATCCTCTTGAGGCACTTCCTCTCTTTCTTGGCAACTTCTGCAGACATCTTATCTGACTCCGATGCACTCAAATTGAAAGCTTCCATCTCTGCCTTAATCTCTGCATTTTGAATTTCAAGCTTCTTTACACCTGCATTCGCAATATCAACTTTGCAATTAGCCTTTCTTATGGCATTCTCCATTTCCATAAGCTTCATGGCCTCTTCCTCTGTTTGCAGTCCACTACTCTTTGCCCTATGTTTTTCCTCCCTCTCAAGTCTCAACATCTTGAGCTCTATAAGATCATTACTTAGCTTTTTTGCAGCTTGCATCACTTTTTCATGAGCCCATTCCTTGCAATCTTTTAACTGTTCTTTGACCTCTTTGATTTGGTTAACCAAACTTGAGATCAGTTGGATCTTTGGATCAGAAAGATCAACCTCTGGCTCACTCTTAACACTGACGCCATCAACACCCCCCAACAATAAATTAACCACAAAAGAGTCCTCCCATGCATACAGTGCGCTTAATTTCTTTTGAGGCCAAGGGCTGCTTAAAGCCTTAGGTTCTCTTGGAGACACATTGATATTAGCACGGTAAGCAGCTGCATAATCTACAACATTCTGGTTCAACTCAGATGCCAAAGCTGGTGAAAGATTGAACTTCTTTGGCAACTTAAGGTATCTTTCTAAAATTCCATCAGAATTTTGAGCAAAAGGATAGTGCTTATTCCGATCAGAAGCACTGCAGTCCTGTTTTTCTTGAACTTCACAGACCCCAGAGGATGCATCTGTAGAATTATTGGTCTGAGATCCATCCTTACTACATTGGTTATGACGAAATGGGTCATTAATGTTACTGGCAACGCCGAGATGAAAATTGCTCACTAAGAGACACCACATTGCATCCCACTTAATCAAGCCAGGACGAACATCGAAAAGAAAGTAAATCATTGCTTCTAGTGACCTTCTCACCAACATCCCAGCCTCTACAATGGCTTTTTGTTGTTCTGGGTAAGTAGCATTATCAAAGACCATGCCACTTTTGATGTAAGTAAGTGAATTGTGTATGATATTTCCAAGGGCATACGTGTTCCCAAAGCAATGGCCATTGGTCAAAATTGCTCTGATTGCAACATTAGACTGATAGCCATAGGACATAAGACTAAGATAAGCTTCATTATATACCAGTTGAAGTCTCTTTATAAGGAGCTGTTCTAGTTGCTCTTCATTGTATTCCTCCCAGATTTTCGTGCAAGGAATTGAACTCAGATGTGAGTTTGCCTTCAGATTATTGAAATTGGTATTTGCTCCACAATTACTGAATTGATTCTGATTGAATCCAGGCCTAATTTCTGAATTTGTTAGAACAGATTCAGCATTCACAGCCGATATTTCTTGGTTGGCTTGAGGACTAGACTCCACAACTGCAGGCAGATTGTTGGCATTGTCATTGCTTCCCATCAATCCACTTCTTCCCTTGGTTATGGTCTCATTTTCGAGGCTAGCCATTTTTGTAAACACAGAAAATGATATTGATACCTGACAAAGCAACATGTAATTCTAAAAATCAAGCACCATTCTAGTCAAAAGAAAAAATTTTGAATACAAAAAATGGAAATTCACAATTCTCATTTTAAGACTAAAGCAGACAAAAGGAAGACTAGAAATGGAATGGCCATGAATACATGACCCCTTCTACTCACCTCCAACCTAAAAAGGTTAAAAATCAAAACTAAAAGAGAGTATTAAAAAAAGAATCAGACGTGCAATCTCCTTGCACCTATTATTTTCCCAGCAACCAAACACCAAAAAGGAACAACCTTTCTGTAGCAAGATACAATTTTTATAACGTAATTGCCGTTTGGCTACTAAGAAAATAGAGGAAAAAGGGAAAAAAAAGGTAAGAAAATATCAGTTCAATCGAATCAAATCACAAAATCCAAATACAAAACGACGAAAAACCTACATTTGAAGATCATACGAAACATAATTCCACATTATCTCCAGCAAAAGGAAAGGACAATCAGAACAAATCACTAGATTACGAAACAGAACACTGAAAAACTCACCGATTGTTGGAAGATTCACGGAGCTCGAAAATGGCGGATACAGGGATGGAACAAACAGAGAATGGAATAGGGATGAAGAAGATGAATTCGGATTCCGAAACGTTCTCGTTGAAGAAGACAGAGGCAGAGACAGAAGAAGGGAAATGCAGTAATCCAATATGTGGAGTGGAGCTGAGTGCCGCTGAGGAGGACGCCACTGTTTTCTTCCTTCTTCCTTTTTTTTATTTTTTTTAATTTTTTAATTGCATTTTCAATCTAATTGCTGCCTTGGACGGGTTGGGGTAGGGTGACGTGCCGGAATGGTGGGAGGACACGTCTCCAGTAACGGTGGGGTCCACTGGGGTGACTGTGCTGCTGTTTCGCCGTTTCGTCACCCACCCGCTGGCTTTTGCTCACGTGTCATCTTTCGCAGGAATAATTGGGACCCGCATGTCGAGGTTGTGGACCCACCCTGGTGTCATAGGCCCACTTAGCAGCCGGAATTTTGGGTCCAATCATCAGCCCATATATATAGATATATAAGCTCACATCTTCCGGGCCCCCGAGGTGCAGATTAAGAAAATACTACTAATATATTTTTTAATTTCATTTTTCTAATTAGAAAGAAGAAAAAAAAATGAAGAAAATTGGTGAAGAATAAACCCTTCCAACGAGGGAAAAAAATTACTCTTTCTGTATATTTTTAATATATTTAATTTAATTTTTTAACTTTTAAAATATAAAATTTAAATAACAATTATTTTTTTTTATCAAAATACATATTTTAAAAATCAAAAAATTAAACTAAATCTACTAAAAATGAATGAAAAAAGGATTAATTTTACCCCTTTTTTATTATTACATAAAGAACAAATCAATATACAATTAATTATACAAATATACACGATATAAATTATTCAAAATCTATAATTTTATGAACTGTGGAATCTTAACCTCTAACTTTTTATGTATTTTATTTGATATTTTGTTAGGAAAAAAATTTTGAACTTACTAACTTGGTTTCAATTGGTCACCAACCGTTTGTGGGGAAAGCCCACCTATCTGTATGTGCGCCTAATATTAGTCTAACGTATTAGGAAAGGAAATCTCTTTCGACTTCAACAAAACAAACCTAACTTTTCTTAGATTTTTTTTTAAACTTTTTTTTTTTTTTAAAGAGTCGAAGCCATCTTTCTAATGCACTAATGTAAAAGCTTTGGTCATCGTATTGATTTGGATAAAGTAATAAGTAAAAAAAAAAAATTAAAAGATTTTGAATTTAAATATTTCTATTAATAAAATCAATTGGTAGAAATATAAGTCATTCAACGATACTTATGTTACAAGTTGTGTTAGAATATTTCTTTTATTGAGAATGAAAAATAACATGCACTAACTGCGGCACAAGAACTCTAGGTGTTTTCTGATAAAAGAGACAGATAAGGCAGAGAAGAATTTGGTGGAGAGATGTTTGTTCCCTAGACAAATACGCACCTCTTTAATATTGTTATTTTTTAAACTTTAAACTTGTGAGTTCTGACCTTATTAAGCCTACCTCTCACATGGATGACATATTGATTGCGTTTACCAAATTTTTAAAAACGAAAATGTAAAACCAAAGTTATGTTTGACTATAGATTTTTGGTAATAATATGTTTGACTATAGATAAAATAAAAAAAAATCAACGATATAAATGATTTGTTAGTTATTTTTTTTTGTTAAAAATAAGATGTTTTAAATTTTAAACGCATGATTTAAGGATAAAATGAGATAAAAGATAAAAAATAATTATTTTTTATTATGCAATCAATATAAAAATATATATAGATATTTTATACCTTTTAATTAAGCATCACATCTTTTCTTAATCAGCCATTATAATATTACTTGTAAGTAGTCATATTGAACGCGATTCTAAAGAGTTTCTCCTCTCCAAACTGTGAATATATTTTTTTTTAACAATAAATCACGGACATGGTTTTGATACAATAAATCGCGGACATGGTTATTATCATAAAATATAGTGTTAACGGGTCATATGGTAAAGATTATTATAGTCCATATTTATCTCAAACCTATATTCAATTCTCATTCATATTGAAGTTTGAAAATTTTTAACTTAAAGAACTCATTTCTTAACAATTGGGAGAGTCATTTAAAAATTTTAAAAAGTTCAGACAATTTGCAACTAAATTTTTAAATTTGATATCAACGATTTAAATAATTTAATGATCATCTTCTTTCATTGAAAGTAAGAAAAATTGAGTTCGAATTGCATAGTATATAAGTGGGGTAAAACAATGGATGAAAAATAATTGCCTTCTCATTATGCAACTAAGATTAAAAAATAATAATTTAAATTTAATACATCTAATTAATTTTATAAGAGTATATTAGATTGCATAATAATATTCATTAATAAACACTTAATATTAAAAATTCACCCCGTCAAATAATTTAATATCTAAAATTTTAAATAATTCAAACAGGACAATATTTTTTTAATTTTATAATTCAACAATATACAATAGTAAAACAAAAAAAAGTTGAATTAGAGTAAAAAAAAAGAGACCTTTGAATTTAAATTTTAAATTGATTTGGGGAAAACGTGAAGCACAATGATTTTGCTGGTCACTACGTAATTTAATTATTAGTTTTTATTTTCTTTAATTACAAGTTTTGACTAATTATTACATTATTTTTCAAAACTATGGTTCTGCTTCTGCCGCCAAACAATGCATTTTCGTTGGATCTGGCTGGAGTCAGCGAGACCGCTCAACGGCTGAAAAACGGCCTTCACTATTTGAAATTCGGAATATGAGTAATTATTTTTTGAGAAAAAAATAATAAAAATTATAATTAATACTAAATGAAATCATCAATGTAAAAGCTTCGCAGTCCTCGCCTGGTTGGTTCTGTGCTATTGTTGGTCTGAATTAGTTGAAAATAAATTCTGGATTATAATTTATAAAATTTTTGATAATTCAAATTACCCAACATATCTTGCGGAAATCCAGTTCCTTAATCCTCTTTCAAAGTCAAGCTCCTCAAACCACATTTTTCTGTTCACATGAATAATCATAAATAATATTACTTACAATAATTTTATTTGAC